GGGAAAGAAGAAAAAGGCACTCCCCAAAGAGATGTGGTCACGCTGCAATTTGTTTTTTAAGCCACTGAAGCCAGAATTCTAATAGTGATCAGTCATGTGGGATCTGGTAGCTACAGGCTACTCTAATGGTTATATCTTTGCAAATCACATAGACTTTTTTTAACCATTATTTGCTAAGCAATATAGTTTAACAACTATTTACATAGCATTTACATTGTACTAGGTATTATAAGCAATCTAGAGACAACCTAAAGTACATGAGAGCATAAGTTATATGGAAATACCATGCCATATTATGAGGGACTTGAGCATCCCTGGATTTTAGTGTTCACAGCAGGTACTGGAACCAAACCCCCACAATACTAAAGGATGACAGTATATCCATGACACCTCACAAATAAGGTAAGCAGACTCAACTTTATTTTAAAATAAAGCAGATCCCTAACAAAAGAGTAACCTGCTCCACATAGCCATCTCCCCACCACCACCACCACCAATCTGATCACCTCTGCCTCGCCCACGGCCCCTTCTGCCTCTTTCTGTGCCTCTGCCAGAAGGTCCTCCACTTTTGGTGCCATCCAATCCATTTTCCTGACCCCGAACTGAAATACAAACAAAGCAAAACACAGATGGCCAGAGCACAGTCAATAGGATGTAAACAAATGCATAAACAGTATGCAATATAGTACTGGGGCAACAAAAAGCAAAAAGGAGAAAAATGAACTATAAGGATGGGACATAAGGGTTACTTGGGGAATGGTGATAAGTCACAATGAAAAGCTGTTAAGTCAAATAATTTTACCAGTAAGTACAGGGTATTGGTGGCTGTTGTTAGAAAAGTCTACATGCAAGAGATGTCAAGATCTCATAACAGATGATGGCAAGAAAAGCAAAAAGGGTAATACAATGGTTCCTGGGTCCTGCCTAGCAGGACCCTGCCATATCCCTGGAATCTAGACATTACTGACCCACAGCTGGTTTTGATAAAGCCCCATGCATACACTCTCGTCCACGGCTGGCACCTCTCCCCCGTCTTGGTGGTCCACCACGTCGCCGACTGTAGTCTCTGTCCCGGTCTCGATTTTCTTTGCCTTCCTCATTGGATTCGGTCTGGCCACCATCCTTCTGTCCTGAGATGCCCTTCTTCTTCCCGACCATTTCCCAGGAATGCTAAAGGAGGGGAGAGCACTCATGTCCAATCTGGACTATAGTTCAGGGTCCCAGAGATGAAAATTGGAACAACTCAGGTCCAGCAGGTGGCACATGGAGGTTAAGGTGCTGGATTCTATACGACTGACTTCATAATTCGAGTTACAGACCCAGTGGCTTGGAAAACATGCCAGATGCATCTGTATGCATGCTCCAAATCCCAAGAGGAGACCGGAGAAAGGACTGCAGTGTAACCATCAGTCTGGGTGTGATTTCTCACTTTCTCTCTCTCTGGCAAGTGCACACACCCTACAGCAAAAACTTAAAAAAATAAAATAAAATAAAAGTTGGAACAACTGGGTGACTTAGCCATTCTCTCAGCATCCTTATATAAGACATTTCCATTAGTTTATTTCTGTTTAAATAGAGAACACAGATAGAACCTAAAACCAAATTTTAGACCTACCACTGTCAAAATTAAAGTTCTTTTTATAGAGGTGTTTATGAGGTAATGGATTGTAGGGCTCACTCCCATGAGGATCACCAAGATCTCTATCCAGTTCACCTTGTATATTAACCAAAGGACCTAATTCTTCTGTTTGCATGTTTCAAGTGTGTTTCGTAGACTGAAAAAAATGAATGCCCTTTGGCTTAAGAAACTCATACATTTTTAGTCTTATTCATATCAAATAAAGCAAAAAAGAAAATGGAAAGTTTCTAAAAGTTATCTATTTAATATAAATTCAAAAGGAGTAATTTGGGCTCTTGGGATTATTTTTAATCAAAAGTCATAAGCTTTTGGGAAAAACAGCAACTTTGCCCACTTACGTACCTATACACACAAACAAAAAGCAACTTCACTTAAATAACAAAACAGCAGCCACAGTTCATGCCCTGAGACATGATGATTATGGAAAGCCTTCCACCCCAGTTTCACTTGTTTGTGTTCTTCCTACATTTTCTAAATTGTTATGATCCAATTTAACCGTCTCCAAAGCAGAATATGTATCTATGGTATGTTCCAAATTGCAGGAGGAAAAATTTGTTCAAAAAATAAATAAGTTAAGGGCCAGCAGGTGGTGCAGTGGTTAAGGTGCTAGACTCCCACACGGTCTACCACAGTTCAAATCCCGGACCTAGCAGCTTGCTTTCTCACTTTCCCTTTCTCTCTCTGGTCAAATTTAAAATAGTAATAATTACAAGAAATAAGTGATTCTTAAAAAAAGATAAAATAAGTAAATAAGTTAAATACTCTCAACATTCACTCCTCAGGAAAATAAGCTTTGTACATTTAAAATTTCCAATTCATGCATACCTTAGCCAAGCTGCAGCAGTGCAAGCAGTAGGGTGCCAAATGCACAAGGCTGGATCTGCATGGGAGGTCAGTGTTTGATTCTTAGACCACCCTAAAGTAGACCTGGTGGGGTGGCATGCACCTGTAATCCTAGCTAATTGGAGAAGCTTAGGCAGGTGGCTCAAGGCATGGCAAGACCCTATCAAAAATACTGTGCCCTCAGGACTAGCAGATGGCAGAATGGTTATGTCGCTGGACTCCCACGCAGTTGACCACGGTGCGAGTCCTGTACCCAAGTGGCTTAAAATTCATACTGGGTACATATGTGTATGTGCCCAAAATCCCAAGAGAATGGAGAAGGGATTGTGGTGAGGCCATCCGCCCAAGGGGGTGATTTCTCGCTTTCTACCTCTCCAGTAAGTGCATGTGCCACAGAGCAAAAAAATCTCTCTCTCTCTCTCAAAAAATATCCTCTCTTGGGACCAGCAGTTAGCATAATGGCTATGCCGCTGGACTCCCACGTAGTCAACCGCGGTTCGAGTCCCAGACCCGGTGGCTTAAACTCACGCCGGGCGCGTGTGCGTGCGTGCCCAAGATCCTGAGAGGAGAATGGAGAAGGGATTGCAGTGTGGCCATCCCCCCTGGGGGGTGATTTCCTGCTTTCTGTCTCTCTGTCTCTCTGTCTGGCAAGCGCACGCGCCCTATAGCAAAAACCTCTCAAAAAAAAAAAATATATCCTCTCTCTCACATTAAAGAAAAAACAGGCATACCTTGATTTACACATATTTTTGCAGAAAATCTGTAAAAATGAAACTCCTAGGACAAACATCAAGACTATCACATTTTTACTATCTTATAACTTAACCATTTAAAACAACCATGGGCCTGGTACTCAGCAATTAATGAGTTTTAAGACTATGGTCCAGGTATAACACAAAATTGTTACTAATTTTCTCAGGATAGACACTAGCATTATGGTCATGTTAAGGAGTGTCCTTCTTTAAGGAACACATGCTGAAGAGGTTAAAGAATAAAGTACACCTATGCTTTGTACTTATTCCATACAATTCCAAGTGTCCATCTGGATGAGATAAATGGATGAACAAAATGTGGTATATATACACAATGGAATATTATTCAGCCTTCTTCCTTTTTTTTTTAAAGAGTTATTTTATTTAACTTTATTTATTTACTTGTTTTTATTTGACCAGAGAGGGACCGAGCAAGAGAGAGAAAGTGAGAAAGCAAGTACCAGGTCCGGGACTCGAACCATGATTGGTCATGTGGGAGTCCAGTGCCCTTAACCACGTCACCTGCTGGACCCTCAGCCTTCTTTTATTTTTTTATTTTATTTTATTTTTTTTAGCCTTCTTTTAAAGATTTTTTTATGTATCATTAATTCACCAGACACGGAGAGGGAAAGTGAGAAAACAAGTCACCAGGTCCGGGACTCAAAGTGCAGTCAGCATGTGGGAGTCCAGCATCTTAATTACCCTGCAACCTGCTGGTCTCTTATTTAGACTTATTTTGCTTCCCACAAGTTTCACTGGTACCTGGTTTATTTGTGGCAAAAGATTACACTCTCCAGCTTATTTTCCTTTTTGATACTGTGAAAGGTCAAACTTGTAGTGGTAGACAGGAGGTGAGACAAAACATGACTTGTGTGGAAAAAAAACTTCAAACTTTTAAAAAAGTTAGTCCTATCTACTCCCCCCCTAAAATAAATCTGGAGACATTAATTCTGGAGTAAACACAAAATGAACCAATGGCACTCTATCTTGGTTGTCCAGGAAGTAAAATTTCAAATAACATTTATAAAGTAAAACTTAATTTAAAACTACGCTACTTGGACCGGCAGGTGGAGTGGTGGATAAAGGCGCTGGATTCTCACATGGTGGACCACAGTTCAAGTCCTGGACCTGGTGGCTTGCTTTCTCGCTTTCCCTTTCTCTTTCTCTGGTCTCTCTCTGGTCAAATTAAAAAGTAATAATAACAAATGGAATTAAATAAAAAATTCTTTAATAAAAAATAAAACTATGCTACTGGGGGGGAATCTACAAATTAAACTCAGCAATTTTTAAAAGTTTTCCATTATTTCCCATTTTCTCAAAGAAATTAAGAAACCTCCAACACTGAGTTTGATATGTCACTATAGCTTCAGAAAGTTTGTTTCTCTAGCAGGATGAATTCTGTATTTATTTCAACCAAAATTCCACAGTATAAGGCCAAGTAAATTATTTCAAAATGATACACTGCTCATTTAAAAAAAATAAAGAGTTCTCTAGTAAAACAGTGCAGGAACATCCCAAAGGTTAATAAAGCAATGTCTCTGTTCTTTTCTTTTTTTTTTTTCATTTGGAGACAGACAGAAAGTGAAAATCACTCCCCCAACCCGAGGGGATACCAACACCACAATTCCTTCTCCTCCATTCTCCTCTCAGGATCTTGGGCATGCACACACACATACCCAGCCTGACTTTAAGCCACTGGGTCTGGGACTCAAACCACGGTTGACCCCAAGGGAGCTCAGCGACATAGCCATTATGCCAACAGCTAATCCCTAATGTCTCTGTTCTTGAGAATTACCATTTGGTAAAAAGATCAGAGGAACACAGAAACAGAACTCTCATTAAATATGAAGAGGAGAAAACAACTTTTTGGATTCCAGGACAAGAGGACCTGTACAATACCTCCTACCCTGTAAAGCTTCTTTCTCTGCTATCTCAGCATAAGTAAGTTCAGGTAATGAAATGGTGTTGTACAATGTCAAGCTGATAATGACGGGGATGTCCTGAATTCAGAACTGAATAGTTCAGTAACAATGAAAAAGGTGAGCAGAAATCTTCCATGATCAGTAACCAAAGCTATCAAATAGCACCTCAAATTCAGGCTGATCCAGCCTTGAAAAATAGTCACTAGCCTGGAATGAATAATTAATTCCGAGCAAATTAGAGGAGACTGATTTCACCTGTTTTCTCCTATAACTTATCTCCAGAAAGAATGTATTATATGTCATTTTAAGTATTTGCAACCCACAGCAAACAATCTCCAAGAAAGTCCCCTACTCAAAGAATAAGGTACTTTGCTTTATTTAAGTTTAAGGTGAGTAACCCACTTGCTAGTTTTAGAACTATTACAGGCCTCCCAATCCAGGACCCATGTTCCAGAACACTTTATTAGCACTCTACCGTGTCAGGGTTTCCTTCCAGCAGAACATTGATGGCTCTGTTGACATCTCCATTGCAGTCATGCAAAGCAATCACACATTCATCCTGGTTCTTGCCTGTGATATCAATCAGCTGAAAGAGAAAGATCAGAGGAACCAGCAGTTAACGTAATGGCTATGTCGCTGGACTCCCACGTAGTCGACCGCAGTTTGCGTCCCGGACCCGGTGGCTTAAAACTCATGCTGGGCGCGTGTGCATGCGTGCCCAAGATCCCAAGGAGAGAATGGAGGAGAAGGGATTGTGGCGTGACCATCTCCCCTGGGGGGTGATTTCTCGCTTTCTGTCTCTATGTCTCTCTCTGTCTGTCTGGCGAGCGCACGCGCCCTATAGCGAAAAACCTCTCCAAAATAAAAAGTAATTGGATCCCAGGATCAGCAGTTAGCGTAATGGCTATGTCACTGGACTCCCATGTAGTTGACCGCGGTTTGCTTCCCAGACTGGTGGCTTAAAAGTCACGCCAGGCGTGTGTGTGTGCGTGCCCAAGATCCCAGGAGGAGAATGAAGGAGAAGGGATTGCGGAATGGCCATCCCCCCTGGGGGGTGATTTCTGTCTGTCTCTTTCTGACGAGCCCACAGGCCCTATAGCAAAAACCTCTCAAAAAAAAAAAAAAGTAAATGGATCCCACTTGGTCGAACATGGTTCAAATGCCAGTACTGGTGGCTTGAAAACCAAGTAGGATCTGTGTGCATGTGTGCCCAAAATCCTGACAGGATAGAGAGATGGAGAAGAAGGAAAAGAATAACCATACCCCATTGATGAGTACCTTCTCTCTCTTCCTCTGGCAACATTTCTTTTTAAAAAGACCAAAATATACACTATTTTGGCATTCTAGCTCCAAAAGCAAAACATTAACACCAATTGTTTAGGAATGGGGTCAGAAGAGTTTACAAATCAAACAATTAAGCATCAAATAGAGAGTCAAACCCTGAAACCAGATTTTAGCATACCATGAATTTCCACATTTTCTAGATCCCAAACTGCTTAAATTGCTATAAAATATCACCAGCAAAGTCATTCAGTAAATAAGGAGTTAAAATTTAAGATAAAACCTGAGGTGACATGATGGTTAAGGTGCCGGACTTCCACATGGCTGACCACAGGTCAAGTTGCAAACCTGGAAGCTTAAAAATCACTCCAGATGCATGTGAATACATGCAAGCATGTGTGCACGTCCAAAATCCAGCAAGCACACGCACCCTATAACAGAAACCTAAAAAATTTTTAAAATGTAAAAAATCTATGAACAAGGTTTCTATCCAAAAGAATACATCAAAGCACTTATTTACTGGCCCAACCTATATTTCAGGTAAAAACTCTTCCAACATCTATAGTACCAAATATCCTGTGGACATTTAGGTTATTTAATTATACTTTTTAAAAAATAATTATTTTTATTAATTCTATTTTTTAATTTGACCAGAGAGAGAGAGAGAACATGGGAAAGCAAGCCACCAGGTCCAGGATTTGAACCACAATCAACCACGTGGGAATTTAGCAATCTAACCACTATACACCTGCCAGCCCACTAATTATACTTTTTTTTCTCTTTTTGGAGAGGTTTTTGCTAGAGGGCGTGTGCGCTCGCTGGAAAGACAGAGACAGACAGACAGAAAGCAAGAAATCACCCTCCCAAGGTGGATGGCCATGCCACAATCCCTTCTCCTCCATTCTCCTCTTGGGATCTTGGGCACGCACGCACACGCGTCTGGCGTGAGTTGAAGTCACCAGGTCTGGGATTCGAACTGCGGTCGACTACATGGGAATCCAGTGACATAACCATTATGCTACTTGCTGGTTTCCCCGCATTATACTTTAATTCTTTTTTTTAATTATTTTATTTAATTTTATTTATTTTAATTTGACCAGAGTTGGACAGAGTTGAGAGAAAGCAAGAGATGGAAAGTGCATGAGCAAGCTGCCAGGTCCAGGACTCGAACTATGTTTGGCTATGTAGGAGTCCAGCACCCTTAACCACCATGCCACCTGCCACCCCCGCTTTAATTCTTATAAAGGTATAAGAATTATATCCATAACTTAAAGCAAATTAGCAGTACACTCACTTGTTTTACTTTCTCCTCAAAGTCAGCATCATTATGGTCCGAAATCATCTGTGCAAGTCGGATTTGTTCCGCAGTGGCCTAGGAATTGAGATCAGTAAGTTATAATCAAGGGGCAACACTTTAGAAAACTAGGAGGAAATCTATGCAGTCAATCTCTACCCTCCTCAATACCCCAGATTCCTAGATTCCTTTTCCTTGTTACAAATGACCATGTAATAAAGCACCATTTTAGAGCCTTAAATCAACAAATGACCAAAAAGAAGAAGTTGTAACTATTTCATTCTACAATCCCCAAAAGAACAGGGAGTTTTTTTCACTGATGTTCATAGTTAAAGAAGCTTTCATATTGAAATCATAGCACTACTTTGAAACATCTGCCCCTTAATTCGCATTAATATATTTGCAAAATCATGTATATTTTTTCTGTTTCTAAAATCACCAATGCCACCCCCTTTATCCTAGGCCTAAAAATATCATAAGGATGAATCTGAGGATATAATCAGCATGTTTTCTGAGTATCTAGTGTATACTAATAAGGTATCAGGAATTTTACTAACCTGAGAATAAGTAAACTTTTCTAGAAATTCCCTTGGAAATAGATGTGAAAAAAAATACATTAAAGAAAAGTTCTAGTCTCACACACTCGGTTTATCTGACCATAACCATATATAAGCAATTCATTCATATCAGGTACCAATCAATGCCAAATTCATTATAAAAACAGATATCAAATTAAAAGAAATATATACATAGCTGGGGCGGGCAGATGGTATGGTGGTTAAGGATGCTGGACTTTCACATGGCCAACTGCAGTTCAAGTCCCAGACTTGTAGGCTTGTTTTCTCACTCTCTCTCTCTCTCTTACTCGCTCTGACCCTCTCTGGTCAAATTAATATAAATAAATAAAGTTAAATTAAAAAAATAAATGAAGTTATATAAAATAAATCTTAAAAAAAAAAACTGAGCATAGCTCTAGGGTGTCTCATTTAATTTTCAGGGAAGAGAGTAAAGATGGCAGCTCCTCGTGGAAAAGGAAAAGAAAGTAAGGCCTCAGTGAGACCAAAGGGGAAAATAAAAAGTTAGGGAAAAGGAGGTCAAATGATAAAATGTGCAAGAGCAAAGGTGTTAAAACAAAGGTGGACTAGAGGAATATCAAGATGGAAGGTCTAGGAAATGAAAAATGTACTGCTAAAGCAGCCTCGATGAGACAGGAAATGCTATCTTAGACATACAAAGCACAGAACTCATAACAGAGTGTTAAACCTCAGAATGCAGTATTAAACAACAAAAAAGGCAAGCATTCTGCAACATACCATGTTATTAACAATTATCAGGTTCAAAATAAAAAAAGAGCCAAAGACTAAAAAACAAGAGTAAGCTGGGGTCAACAGGTAGCACAGAGGTTGGGGCAGCTGGATTCCACTTCATTAACTAAACAGTTGAGAGTCTTGACTCAGGGACCAGCAGGTGGCAGTGTGATTAAGGCGCTGGATATTCCCACATGGCCAACCACAGTTCGAGTCTCAGACCTGGTGACTTGCTTTCTCACCTTCTCTCTTCCTCTTTGTCTCTCTCTGATCAAATTAAAAATATATGAATAAATAAATAAAGTTTGATAAATAAATCTTAAAAAAAAAGAGAGAGAGAATCCTGACTCACCAAATCTTTAGAGAGTAGAGAAGGGATTGAGACATGGCCATCCCCCCAGGGGGTGATTTCTCACTTTCCCTCTCTATCTGTCTCTCTATGGCCAGTGTATGCATCCTACTGCAAATAGAGGAGTAAGGCATCTAAATCAATAGCCTAATGTATAGGATAGTGTTATATTGCATAAAACCAGTATCAATCAGCAATGCTATCCATGGATTCATATTCCTTTGGGATCCTTACCTGTGGCCGCTGCTTGTGCTGTGTCTGGTTTTGGTTTTGAGGTTGTTCCCAGTTTCCCCGGGCTCGGTTAGTGCCCACCGACGTCATCATTTACAGTATATACAAATAACAGTATTTACAAGGTAGAATACTGAAAGATTAAAAAAAAAAAGTTTAGAAGGTAAACGTAGACGAAATGTTTCTCTTTCACTAACACCCTCATCACCATACTTTTATTTCTTAAAAGAACAAACCAAGATTGCCTGTTTTTGAGACACGGTTTGATAAATTCCTTAAGGAGTTGGTAATCCACTTTTGTGTAACAATTAATATATAAAGCATGTATAAGTGATGGCTTTTTAGAAGAAGTTACTGGCATAGGCCCAGCTTGGTTACTAGTCCCCTATGAACAGGTTCCATGATGCTGAACTATCTTCACTGAAAGCAAAACAATGTTAACAATGAAAAGACTTCAATATAAGTGAAAGTACATGAAGTCTCTGATAGAAGGAAGGATAATCAGTAAAGCTTGGAAACAAAAACCTTCCAGGAAAACAATAACTTAAAATACTGTTTAAAACTACTTGAGAGAACTGCCTTACCTACCTTACAAACATTTTACAGAAGTTGTGTGTGACCCCACTGCTAGGCAAAGGACAAGATCAAGTCTAGCCTCTTTCTCCCTTGTTTCCTCTCTCAGGATGCTATGGATTTTTTTGTTTAATCATAGCCTTCAACAGGGCATGTAATAGCCCCAGTGACTATGTCCAGAATCTCAGTTCCCTGGATAATAATTTAAACACACTGCTTTTACAGCTGCTTCTGTTGGTCTCCTCACATTTGCAAGAAAGCAGAATTGCAATTATCCTCCACCACTCACCTTAATGTACAGAGAATCCCACATCTGTCCCAAACCAAAAGCATCTAGCATAAAATTTTATTTGGAGACAAGGCTTCTAGAAAATCATTTTAAATTTGAGACATTAATGAAGACAAGAGGACTTAGTTGAGTCTTTTAATGTGACACAGAACACACAGGACCTTCCCCAAATCAGAATACTGTTTTTTTAGTAAGACTTGTAATAAGCAAGCATTCTAATAAATTCAAGTTTCCTTCATTCATACTTCGTTTTATAATGAAATCTCAGCTGCTGCGTTTAGTAAACAAAGAAAACATTCATCATTACAGAGTGCTCAAAATAAGGTTACTCTGGATCATTTTATTCTCTTTCAAGGAGGACGAGTTTATACTTTTCTGCTCTATTTTAACTCTTCATTAATGAAACTTTATACAGGGTAATACTACACTGTCCAGAAAACCAGGGAAGTTAATTTCACCTGTTTGTTGGCTGCCACAGAAAAAGCTGACATCTCTGTGGATAAATTCTTCATAAAATTGTGTCAACGGGTTGCACAGGTCTTTTTTTTTTTTTTTTTTTAATGTAGTCATGAATTAAGAGCTCTACACTTTCTATCACCACAGACCATTTTTTAAAGCTGCCTCCGGGCTAATTTTTAACCATTACCTCTTCCCTCTACACACATGTGCACACAAAAGCCTTTGTAACTATTTCAAGCCAGTAGTACAAGATTATTTGCTATACAGAAGTCTATTTTCCAGGTTGGCATTATAGTCAGGTTCCAACATTTAAATTACAAACAAAAAAACACAAAAACAGTTGTTCAACGATCTATCCCTTGATTCAAATCTACAAGAGGGGGGGAAACATCAAGTTATAACTAGAGGAAAACTATGTTTTTAAAACTGAACTTTCTAATGCAGAGTAGTCATTTCCAACCCAGCCCCTATAACTTTTACAAATACTGACAGCTGTCTACTCTACTCACAATATCAATTTGTGAGGATATAAATTGTATGACTAATCAGAGATGACTACATATACCATACCAGTCAAATGTAAATATATTAAGAAGTCATCCTGAAAGATACACAATTAATCGAGAAAGAAAAAGAAAACCCTCCTGATCATTCTTGCTATTAACTTTCATTTCCCTCTTACAAGGGCTTTGAAATGTGTGACTAAGAAAATTTTACCACCTAGGCAGTAACAACACTATGCAACAGGTCAAAAGTAAGCAATCTGGGATGGATCACTTGAGGGCACAGAATCAGTATTAGTAGCCTTTTGGAAGCAAGTAGAGACAAATAACCAGAGTTGTCACAGTGAAGGTGTGTTTCTTAGAAAACAAAAATATTCAAGGGAAGTAGGGTGAGAAGTACGGAGACCAAGGAAAAGTGCAGAAGCAAATATAGGTTTCAACAAGGAGTGTACCCTTGACTATTTTTTGAAAACCAGCTACTTAAAAAAATAGCCAGAGAAATTTTACTGAAAAAAATTAATATCAAGTATTTATTGAGTATCTACTATGTGTCCAATACTTCAGGAGATACAAAAACAACAGACTTGGTTGCTGCCCTCAGGGAGCTTACAATCTAATTTGAGAAACAATTCAGGAACTCAAACTGGAGTGAAATGGGAAGACTTTCTACATGTCTAACAGAGTAACTAATTTCCCTAGATGCTTTGTTGGCATGACCCCTATAGCCCTCCCCACCACCTTTATCCCATAAGAGTACTCCCCAGTTAGGACCCATTTAACAAGGAGGGGCTTCAAAAATAAAAAAAGAAACAGTTCATTTTTATGCCCCTCTCCACTAGTTCATATGCCAGCAACATTTCCCACTCATAAGGAAAACAGTCATTGGGATAGTGTAATCTTTAAGGACAACAGTATGGGATCTCACAGGAGGTTTACCAACTGATACACAACCAAAATATTTTTTATTCTCTGGTTATGACAGTTGTTACCATCATCACCTTCCAGCAAGTCTTATCGGATAATCCCAAAGCAGCTGTGGTAGAGATGGAAAAGAGAAAAGGAGACCAAAAAAAAAAAAAAAAAAAAAAATACTTCCCCAACCAGGGACTAAATCCAGCCCTCCCTGTGGCCTCCGTGTCCCAAGCAACTACATCCGGCACAGACTACGCGACTGGGCCTCCTTTTTCTCATAACTAAAAAAAAAAAAAAAAAAAAAAAGTACTTCTCCATTTGATAATCAGGGAGAGTCAAAGACGAAAACCTTAACAATAACGATAAAAACGCCTGTTACTGTGGTGTTTTCTTTCCACAACATCCTACACCAGAGGTGGCTACACTTCAAGAATGGAGGAAAAGGAGCCAGTCTCCTGTTTGTGACATCAGTCTGCAAAGCAATTTAGGGGCTTTCCACAAGGTGAAGGGTCTAAAGAAATTTGGAATTTCTGTCCCATTATGAGAAGAGTGAACAAATACCCCCGTGCTCTAGTGACGTCTCAGGCATAATAAACCCTTCCGGGGGGCCTCCATGTCTAGCTTCCCAAATAACATCACAATTGTTTTGGGTACCCAAAACTACAGTACATACAACAGCAAGCTAAAGACAGCAGTAAAAATATATCCCAAGAGCTGGGTCGGTTTGAAAAAAAGGGAGGGTAATAAGAGGAGCTGACAAAGAGGCTGGAAACGGAGAAGGGACGCAAACCCACGCGTGGAGGATGGGAGGCTCACCCCTCTCAGCGCCACATCGGGAGCCCACGGGGCCAATCGTCTCCCTACCTCCCACCCGGAACAAATGAATACTCCGCACTCCAAACTGAGGGCCACATGGGGGAGTTTGGGGCAGCTCCACCCCATCACTCTCCCTCCCCCCAGCTCCGCCACCCCCAAACCAGGCCGGATCCGGATCCGAAGAGGCCCGCAGAGGGTTGGAAAGGGAGGAGGCCCTCCTTCTCCACAGGCACCAGGCAGGGCAGAGAAGGCCCTACCTCAAGCAGGGCCCAGGCCTCGCCCGCTCGCGCTCTTTCTTGCACTCCCCCCCACCTCAAGCTCTAGCCGCATGGCCCCCCCC